TTACTGTAACATCACACCCAAGCAACTCCGCACGAGCCAAAATATTGTTAACAATTTTGTGTACTTTTTAATTTCAGGAATACACAGTGTCTCTTGGTAGGGATGGTTACTGATGGATGTACAAAACATTAAAGTGTACAGGTACCTGCATGAAAGAGGCAACATACTGTTTTGAGCGTGTTTAGGGCCTTCTTCTACCTTGATGGAATAGGGTCTTTGTCCTATTCCCATTCAGAATTAATTAATTATGAAATATGGATCTCACAGACAGTCGGTAGGACTCCCTGGATGGGGAATGAGCCCGTTGCAGGGCTGCTACCTACACAGGACGCAGAACAAATGCACACAGACATCCATGCATTCAGTATGATTCGAACTCACGATCACAGCGCTTGAGCGGGCGAAGACATTTCATGCGTTAGATCGCGCGGCCACTGCAAATTGCTGTGTTTAGATAAAAAAAAAAAAGAACGAGAGAAACCGAAGTTGTATTATTAGTGCTACTACGGGCTGGATGGCCGAGGACCCGGATTTCGAGTCCCGGTAGAGGCAAAATTTTTCTCCTCTCCACGTCATCCATACCGGTTCTGGGGCCCACCTTGCCTCCTACCCAATGGGTACCGGGGGTCCTTTCCCCGGTGTAAAGCAGTGAAGCTGACCGCTCACCTCTACCTAATGCCGAGGTCGAGAATAATTTGATCTATACACCCTCTCTGCCATAAGTCTTCATGGAGTAGCGCTTAATTAGTTAAGCACAGGGACAACTGTACTGAAGGCACAAGCAATTCGAGAGTTCCAGCTTGTATAATTGGACTAATGTCTTTGTCATACACGTACGTGTTCAGTTACGCGTTTTCACTTATTTATGTAACAGGAGATCTGCTTCCTTAGGTTGACGATAAGATTAGACAGGCCTGCTTCATAGGGTGATTACATGTAGGTCGTGCTCGCAGTCTCTACAGCTTGGGCTGAATGCAATGTCCCGCTGAAAGTTACATCCCACTTAATAGCCGAGAGGTCAAACCTCCACTCACTGTGCATGTGAAACTATTGTGTCAATACTGACTGACTGGTTGGCTGGCTGACTGGCTGGCTGAATGAATCAGTCAATCAATCAATGACTGAATGAATGACTGACTGAAGGGTACTGCTAAATTAATGCTGGTCCTCGCCAGCACAGTGATTCTTGGTTCCGAGTCCCGCGGTACTCAAGGCCATGTTTTACTGTCTGTTGGATCTGGGATCCTCCAGGCCACAGTCATAACCAAAGAGTGAAAGTCAACGTTATGTTACGACCGACGGTCAGTCTGCCAGTCTATCGCGGTGTCAAGCCCCATCTGAGGCCCAAGACCAGATTTTTGTTAGTCAGACTGTTGTGGGCTTGTTGAGGTGAGGCGTTGTCTCTAACGAGAGGACGGGTCTGTCGTTTACAATTGTTGCTGGACTTCCCTTTTCGTTGCCTCCTACAACTCGCAGGGCTACGGTGGAGGTTCGAACCCGCCTCCACACGGATTCATAAACAAAGAAATTCTGATAAGACCTGTTCATATACTTTCTTTGATGCGACACGAACCGCTGCAGCTACTGCTCTCTGTATTCGCATCACGATACACCTGCCCTGAAGATGGAGGCGATACGTTCCTCCGAAACGTCTGTTAAAACTAAGAATACACGGCACCAGATCCCAGAAGACGACTTTCTTCATAGTCATCGCCGTGAAAACCTCAAAACTTACAAAGAGAACCTTGTTTACAAATGAATCTGGATTAACGAAAATTGTCTCTATCTAAAAATCTTCCAATAACTTCACTAAAAAGAATCTTAGTATCTATTCCAATCTGTTCACGAGAGAGTGGACATAAACTCCACGCTTTCTTACCCTCGGAACTAAGAGGAGGTGAACGGTGGACTTCACACCTTGGCCAATTTATCCCTTGGAATGAAACCTCCAGTGTAGGAACAGCGAAGGCCCAAGAGACGACAGTCTGAATGAGATCGTGAGAGAAAAATACGTCTTTGCCGAGCATCTAAGCTCGGTCATCCAGCCCATAGTCAGTCAGTTTACTGGCCGAGATATTCAGGCTCTACAATTATTTCGCAGTGTCGGAATTATTGGGTTCTCGGACTTTGTTCATCGTCCNACGAAGAATACACGGCGCCTAAACCCAGAAGACCACTTTCTTCATAGTCATCGCCGTGAAAACCTCAAAACTTACATAATAGCATACAGTTCCTTATTTAAAGATGAAATACTGACTTTTCCTATGAGGTACTGAGGATAACAACGAGAAACCTCAGTTATAACAACCGGTCTCTGGCTCAGAATTTGTTGCAGAGACCTCGTGAATAGAAAGCAGACATAAGACATGCTAACCACGAAACCACGACGTAAGGTCAGTGTCTAATTCTACTTAAGCACTTCGCTCTTCCACCGCTGAGCCGCGCATGATGCCTGCTTTACAGGGACATTCATTAGAAACCTCAGACGATAACTACCGCTCAGGAGCAAAATTATAGCTAATTTTATTGGACGAGGAATTGCATGTACTTGACGTAGTAGAATGCGAGGTTAAGCTAAGAGCTTGTGTTTTTATACTCATAATTTTCCACTTTTGATTATGGTGAGGACAAACAAAGTGATTTGTTTTACACATTAAATTTACAGCAGCGTAATCAGTTTCATCTTATGAAAACCTTCAACTACAAACACTGAAAAGGCATCTCACTATAACTTGTGACTTAATTTACAACGCTGTCCGTGCCGTACATTATAAAAAGTCGAATGGTAGGGCGAAAAGTGAATAAGGAATTGTAAGAGATTTGAAAGGAAGAGGTAACGGTAATATCCCAGTATTTGCCTGGAAGGACTGGAGAAAACAATGAAAGAATTCAATCAGAATACGCAGTGTATCGAACGAAATTTTAATCGACCACCTCCAAAATAGAAGACCAGAGCTCTGTCCCTATTCAACAAAACCGGTACTCAGCGTGAGACACGCTTACCGTGACGGGGCTCTATATACGGTACTTAAGAACTTAACATATGGTCAAGGGGCGACAAAACGAAAGCCTATAGATCCCGATAATTAGAATATCTGGAAAGGATATATGACGCCATATTACCAAAATATCCCCATGTGGAAGCGGGCTCGAATACCTCTGCCTCCGAGTTGTAGAAGGCGACGAAAAGGGAACCCCGTGCCTGGGGGTATAACTGGGCCATCCTGTTCCTGGGGTACATAAATACAGAGACACAGTTGGGATTTAACACTGGGTTGACGACCTTGCTCTGTAAAGATATTATTGTCATGAAATCCGAAGAAATGGAAGGAGGATCTAAAAGTTTGTGACGATGGTAAATTAGTACAAATATTATGTTTTTGGAAGTTATCCATCGTCTTGTCTTTATCTAGGGACTACCTCTATCGATTGGGCCCAGCTGAGTAGGTTTTACCTGAAGACGAAGACAGAATCTAGTCTTGGAAACGTTTTGTTTTGAAAAATAAACAGGACGGTTTTTAGATAACGACAAGACGACAGATAAAATCCAAAAGCATAATATTTGTACAAGTGAAAACCGGATAAAATCTGGCAGAATACTTTATGGAAGTCTTGTTTTGACAATGATGATGAATACCAAAACAAGCCTTCCGTTACCCTTTATACAGCGGCCTCCATAGTCTAGAGGTAAAGTTCCCACCTCATGACTCGGAGTACGCGGGTTCAAATACCCGGCGGAGGTCGTCGAATTTTTAAGGGCGGAAAAAGTCAGGGAACAAGTCCTCCAGGAGGGACTTTAAGCCGTGGGTCCCGTGTCGTAGCTTTACGGCACGCAAAAGAACCTCATATCTCCAAAGGAGGTCACTGAGCCAAATTAACGGACGTTTCCCGCCCAACAGCAGTCTCTAATACCTCTGGTAGATGGGGGAAGCATTATAGATACCTCTCAGCTAGTAGAGCCGGTCTCGCTGGCTGGGCGGGACTGATGGTAAGCACCAGTACCGGTAGGATATAGAGACTGGTAGAAATCATAGAGGGAAGCACAATGAACCAATACAGGTCTCAGTGTATGGGGAAACCCACCAATAACTAACTAACTAACTAACTACCCTTTATACCAAGAGAAAGAAGAGATACACCTATTGGCCTGTCAAGAATGAGATGGATAACCGATGCCGTGAGAGGAAGATTTCGTATTCCGCGAAATTACGAATATGTTGATAGCAATCAAGCTCAACCGACCAAACAGACTTCCACAATGGAATAAACTGCGTCTGTTCTCTGTTTTCCATGTAGGCTGCATTGTCAGAAAATGTGTCTCATTTTAATATTATTGTATGAACATCTCTCTTCAGATGAACTGTAAAACAAAGGACCATGCTTGATAGTCACCTGACTTAACAATCGAATTTAATCCCTGTTCAGACACTTCCCAGCTGCTTTGCCGAGGACCTCAGGTTACCAATTACAGTTACCTTACTTGCAGTGGAGAGTCTCGCTCAGTTTTTGTCCTGTCAGTCAGCAAACACAAATTATCACAGCATACGTATTTACCATCTGTCATTTATGATCTGTCCTGCAGGCAGTTTTTCTATTCGTAACTTGTGCAGAGTCGATCACAGTGACCGCGCGGTTTAAGGCATGAACTGTCTTCGCTCGCTCGAACGATGGAATCATGGGCTCGAATCCCTCTCAAAGTATGGATGTCTATATGTGCCTTTATTCTGTGCTTGTATTGTCCTGTGTGTAGGTAGCGGCCTTGAGACGGGCTGATCCCCCGTCCAAGGAGTCCTACCGTCTGTGTAAAAAAATTACGAAACTGAAGACGAGGCCAGGGCCCAACAAAGGGCTGTAGAGCCTTTGATGAATAAATGAATCAATGAATGAACCAATCAATCAATCAACCTGTGGCAGAATTCAGTTACTTCCCGATATTGGTTATCAAGTTATGTTTGACCTTATCCAAATATTAAAATCACTCAACAATTTTATTTTTCCAGGTTCCTGCACAGAGGGTACGTTTCCTTGTGGGAATTCCACAGTCTGCGTGCCACAGAGGTTTCTCTGCAACGGTCATAGCGACTGCCCAAACGGAGAAGATGAGGACGTATACACGTGCAGTAAGTGTCATGTGGCTTGCTCTATAATACCACTTAAAGTGTTGTGTCAACTCAGTCCTATGCTTAGAAAAATCAGACCAGTGTCTGCCTCAATTCGGCAATTACCGTAATAATAACATTGAAATAAACAAGACCGGAAAGAATTGCTGGTTTCTTTTTACTTTGTCCATCGTCCGTATTCTAAAGAACTAAGAAACACAACGTTTCGGAAACTGGGTCTGTTTCCGATGTCTGGTGAATAGGGAGACACCTACTCTACAATTGATGTCTACTTACTTACTTACTTACTTACTCATGGAGCTGAGCCCTTCTTGAGGAGCCGCCAATTCTGCAGCTACTCAAGAATTTCCCAGCATTTTATGGAACCCGAAGGTTCATCGCCGTGTTCACAAGAGCCCTCCACTGGTCCCTATCCTGAGCCAGATCTATCCAATCCATACCATCCCATCCTATCTCTCTAAGATCAATTCTAATATTGTCCACCCACATACGCCTTGGTCTGTCTAGTGGTCTCTTTCCTTCTGGCTTTGCCACCAGTATCCTATACGCATGCCTCGTCTCCCCATTCGTGCTACATGTCTTGCCCACCTCATCCTCCTTGACTTGATCATTCTAATTATACTTGGAGAAGAGTACAAATTATGAAGCTCCTCATTATGCAGTTTCTCCAACCTCTTGTGACTTCATCTACTCTACAATTAATGTCTTAATCTGAGTTTTATTCCTCCTTTAAATTTTAGCTACTGTGTATCTTGATATTGAAAGGAAATAAAACAATTTCCCTGGCGAATAACGGTTAGTTCTGTTCTGGAACAATATGAAGACTGTTAACTTCTAAAATCTGGCACCGTGTAGTTTGATATCTGTCTACCAAACCACATGACCTCACATCCCAGAAGTTAGTGATTTCAGTAGTCACCATCATGACAACTCATATCTCACGTTAAAATCTCTGTTTCTCTCCTGTTGCTCTCACTTTGGAGCATAGGGCAACCATGGAAGGTCTTGTTTCACTTCACTTTCTTAATCCTAAGACAGTCGAAGGACTCCTTGGACCGAGGATCAGCCCGTCTCAAGCTCACTACACACAGAACAACACAAACACAGAATAAACGCAGACATCCATACCATGAATGAGATTCGAATTCATGATCCCTGCGTTCACCGCGCGGTCACTGTGATGGGCACTTTAGAGCCTGCAGTAAGAACATTAGGGCCGTATTACAATTCTGGAAGCCCTCAATCTGGAAATGATACTAAACGTGGTTTCCTTTTAACCCCCTTCCCCCTGCTGTTTCTGTCTGTATTGCACAGTAGATGCAGAATTTCCATGGCAACAACATTATTTGCATGAATGAGAAAGGACAGAATAATTTTACCAGATTAGATGCGGCTGAAGAGTTTTCTTGCACTAACATTCCTAAACATCAAATAAACAAACCAGGAGGTGTAATATTTCTAAACGAGATATCTCGTGTGAAAATGGAAATGAGTATACTCTTTATTTGGTTATGTACTTAATCTCCTATGTTATCTCAATAATACGTTTTACTGCCATAATAAATGTTAGTGTCTATATCATAACGCTTCAGGTCTGAGATCATGAAACAGATTTTCATAGGATGATATGACGTATTTTGTTCAATAAGGGCATCAGTGATGCAAGTCAGGCAGCGATGTTACGATATAATGACTGAAATCTCGAGGGGTAAACGACCCGGAAGCGCAGTCGAAATCAGAAATAACCCCCCATATTTTACGAGAGAAACCACATCGTAAACGGACCATCGTATTTTGTTCAATAAGGGCATCAGTGATACAAGTCAGGCAGCAATGTTACGATATAATGACTGAAATCTCGAGGGGGAAACGACCCGGAAGCGCAGTCGAAATCAGAAATAACCCCCCATATTTTACGAGAGAAACCACATCGTAAACGGACCATATTTTGATGGAATGAGGTTTGTGACATGAATACGCGATTTGAAGACTCTGTGACGGGAATTGTTTGTATGGTGAGACTGTCTCTTCCGCCAGTGGTTCGTAACTTTTCTTATTCCCGAACCGATGAATCGATATTAGAGATTTGCAGGATCCACACTGTTATCTGTCCCACAGTATACAATACAGACAATAACTAACAGATCTCTATTTTTACTAGAATATCTAAACATATTCATTTCTGATAT